TCTCAGTTCTCTGGAGCTGAGCTGCTGGTCTGATTTGCATCAAGACTGTTTCCTTGTTGAAAGGAGCAGGACTTGGAAGTCTTGGAAGCCACAGACATTTCTGGGCCTAATGAGCTGAGCAGATGGAAAGCGACCCAAGATGGTCCCGGAGTGGGTGGGCTGGTGGAATGGAGGCATCGTGGAGTTTGTGTAGTTGTGTCTGTGGGAGAGGGTGAGTGTGGCAGGTGAATTTGAGACTCTAGGGCTTCCTCTCTGGGGGAGGCTGGATGCAATCCCTAGATGCTTGCCATCTGCCTGAAATGACCAGAGACGGGGAAATAGAATCCATGGGTTTTTTAATCCAGAAGGAAGGGAAACGCCACCCGGGAAACATGATTCCAAGTAAAGTGCGTGCCGGCAGAATGTTTAATTGCAAACTTTTCTTGAGACCCAGCTGCTGGGTAACCCTATCTTGGTCACTCCTGCAGCCAGAGGAGGGTTTACCTGGGCCCCTGACGCAGACCCGGTGAACAGACCTGGCTTTCTCCAGTGACCTCTGCCCTGTCCCCTCCCCTCCACCTGCTCCTTCTCTGCGGTTCATCCCTAGGGTTTCCCACACAGCCAGCTCTGGCAGGCTTGAGAAATTCTGATGTGGGGGTGGGGCAGTAGGAGCAGGGCTGAAATTGTGATGATCTGGGTGCACATTCTGGTCTGATGATCTAGGATGATCGAGGTTTGGAAGCAAGCAGACCAGCGAACAACGAGGGAAGGGGGCCTGGAGGGTATCCGTGGATCCTCTGGACTTACCTCCAGGGAGGCCTCTGACCCTTTCCTTATTAGCTCAGGGTTTACACTGTTTGTCCAGGAGGGTGGGCTGGGCATGGGGGTGGGCGGCTCTGGCAAGTCCCAGAGGTGTGGGAGAACCTGGAATGGGGGCTTATTTCCCCACTCCCACATCTAAGTCACCAGGTGTTGTTCAGACACTCACTCAGTGTCCAACTCTTTGTGACCCCTTAAACTGCAGCACGCCAGGCTTCCCTGTCCTTCACCATCTCCCGGAGCTTGCTCAAACTCATGTCTATTGAGTCAGTGATGCCATCCAACCATCTCATCCTCTGTCACCCCCTTTTCCTCCTGCCCTCAATCTTTCCCAGAGTCAGGGTCTTTTCCAGTGAGTCGGCTTTTCGCATCAGGTGGCTGAAATATTGGAGCTTCAGCTTTAGCATCAGTCCTTCCAATGAATATGTAGGGTTGATTTCCTTTAGGTTCGACTGGTTTGATCTCCTTGCTGTCCAAGGGACAGTCACCAGAGAGCCAGATTTTCTTGTGGGTTCAGGTCAAGTCTTAGATAGCGACAACGCCCTGTGACTCTTTAACTGTTTTGAATAATAAAGGAGGAAGGGCAGGTGTTTCTGGTCCTGTGCTGATCAGTCCTAGATTAGGAATTAGGAAGCCTGGCCGCCTGTCCTAGCTCTGCCACTAACAGGGCGAGCACACTTGGGATGAAAGCAGCATAGCGGGTCAGGCCGGTAGCTTTGTAGACTGTGTGTGTAGAGTAGAGGAAGAGCCTGAGGGTCTGAGAGGTTGGGCTGAGGTCTCGCAGCCACGATAAGAAAGGACCTAAGAGTGGCTGACTCCAGAGTCTGTGCCTCTTTCCTGGCGAATCGCCATCCTAGGTCCTAGGTTCCTCCTTTGCAAAAGGAGGGGCCTCCCAGCTGCCAGAGCCAGTGAGCCTGTGATTAATTCTCCCTGGGAGGTGACGGGAAGCCCCTAATTACTACAGAGGATGGAGCAGGGGTCATGCTAAGCCCAGTTAAGCCCTTCCTCTGGGTCCCGCTTGGTTGGCCAGGGAGAAAGACTGCTGTCTAATGGCCTGCGAGTGAGGGCAGGCTCTCTCCAAGAGGGCCCACTCACTTGGGACCTCCTTCTGGCGTGTTGTGCATAACGTCTGTGGGAAGGGGAGATGTGGATGGAAGGGAGTCGTAGCAGACAGGATTTGGGACTCAAGGAGCTAGAAGTCAACAGGGGGGATGGAATGGGCTATAACCCCCAGAAAAACCCCAGAGCATCCTGCCACAGTTGATGGAGCCAGTTGTGTATGAGAGTTTCCTCTGTGTCTGTCTGGTTTTGTAGCATTCTTCACTGTTGACTTCTGTCTGGGCCATGTTCTGTCTCTTCTTGGTCTCAGGCTCTCAGAATTAGTATTCCTCCCCCATGTTCCTCAAGGGTTGTACAGACTTCTCAGATCACCCAAAACTTTATTTAAAAAGATGCCATTCAGTCCTGATCAGGAAGTTTGATTAAATATCCCTGCTTCTGAATTTACATATTCCCTGGTAACTCAGACAGTAAAGCGTCTGTCTACAGTGCGGGACACCGGGGTTCCATCCCTGGGTTGGGAAGATCTCCTGGAGAAGGAAACGGCAACCCACTCCAGTACTCTTGCCTGGAAAATCCCATGGACAGAGGAGCCTGGTGTGCTGCAGTCCATGGGGTCACTACGAGTCGGACACGACTGAGCGACTTCACTTTCACTTTCTTTTCTTTCAGACAGTCCTGTGTAGTTAAGAGCATAGGGATTAAACTCAGCTGGACTTGGGTTTAATCCTTTGCTCTGTATTTTCCTAGCTGTGTGACCTTGGGCAAGTTATTTGGCTTCTCTGAACCTCAGCTTCCTCTTGTGCAAAAGGGGGATGGCAGTGGTAGCTACCTCATTGAGCTGAAGATTAAAAGAGCTAATGCATATGAGTGCTTTACACTGTGCTGGCACATAGTAGCCATTACCTAAATGGTTTCTACAGTTTATTGTATGAGATATATGTTTATATATGATATAAAGTAAAGCATATCCCTGGATGTTTATTTATGTCAGTAGTTTATTTTGGGCTTGTGAGGACAGGGACAGCCTTTTCACTTAATGTTCTTTCTTGTTGGGATCACATAAGACATGTCATAAATACTCCATTTCAGGGTGGCAACACTCAGCTGTATTTGCTTTGCTTTATAGCTGTCTCCTTGGGTGCATTTCAGAACAAACACTCCGCACTGCACGAGGCTAACTCTGTGGCTGAGAGATTGGAGTGGAGAAGGGACTAGATTCAGGGCTTGTTTCCTTGGCTGTTAACTGAGAAGCCAAACATACAGCCTCACACTCCTGTGTGCAAAACCCTTGTTGTGGACTCAGTGTTCGTGCCTCCCCCAGTCCCTCCTGCTAAGTCCACATGTTAAAAGTCCAGATCCTCGGTATGATGGTATCCGAGGTGGAGCCTTTGGGAATTAATTAGGTCCAGACGCAGTCATGAAGGTAGAGCCCCAATGATGAGTTTAGTGTCCTTTTAAGAAGAGAAGGAAACTAGAGCTCTTGTCTCCACCATGTGAAGGTATGACAAGGTGACCAGGAAGCAGGTTCCACCAGGAACCTTGATCTGGGGTTTCCAGCTTCCGTGACTGTGGGAAATGAACACTGTTTTCTAAGCCACCCAGTCTGTGGAGTTATGTTACAGCGGCCCAGGCAGATCAGACAGCCCTGCTCCAGGCAGTGAAGCCCGCCACTCTGATGCCAAGGTGTCCGCACGCACCTCCTCTTCACTCCCATTTCTTCCTTTTCACGACCCTGGCTTCTCTGGCCACTTTGTTCCCCTCTCTGGTGGATTCCCCCTCACACCTCCTGAGTCAGAATCGCCAGGCAGAGGCCTGGGAATAGGGATTTTTACTGAGTTCCCCCAGGTGATTCGGATGGACAGGGCATCCTGGCAAGGGGACTGGTGCAGAGACCTAGAGCCACCCAGTCTCCTCTGAAGGCGGAAGGAGCAAACGTCTTAACCCTGGGTTGGAGACCTCACAGCAGGCACCTGGGCAAGTTCAGCAGAGTAGCTCTGAGGTTGTGTGGGGGGCCCTCCCTCTAACCGAGGCCTCGCCTAGGAAGGCATGTCTTTGGTGTGGGTTCAGGTGAGAGGAACAGAAATGGTGAGAACAGTAGACCAGATTGTGTGGGTCTTCTCCAGTCAGCAGTCCTGCCCACTTCCTGGGCCAGGCAGCCTTCCACAATGGCCTGAGGCAGTCAGTAGTCAGGAGCCTGACTGAGCACTGCGAACTGGGGTGACACTGGGAATGGGGTCCTGAAATGCCTTCATTTCAGAAAAGTCTACAGATCTTCCGCACGCTAACTTCCCTCCTGTGCATCTAGGTCTCAGCCAGAAGGCCAGTTTGGTCATTCAGTGGGGCAGAGTGTTTTCCAGGCACCGACTCTGTGCCGGGCACAGAGCTAAGACTCAGGGACACCGGGATGAATCACACATCTCTGAAATGTCCACAGCCTCCTGAAGCAGGTTTAGAGTAGGTTCCAAGGATCAACTGAGGCAGAATCAGCTGGAGTGGTTTGTTTAAAACACAGACGCCCAGTTTCAACAAACATACCATTCTGGTGAGGGGTGTTGATACTGGGAGAGGTTGTGCAAGCGTGGAGGTGGGGATAGAACGGAACCCTCTGTACCTTCTGCTCAGTTTTCCTGTGAACCTAAAACTGCTCTATAAAAATTGTTTAACAAAAGAAAATGTAGATGCCTGAGCCTCCAAAACCCAGGTCTACTTATGCAGAATTGTAGAGGGTGGGGTTCTGACATCTGTGATGTTGGAAGGCCCTTTGCAGAATCTCATTCACCATAAAGTTTGAGAACCGGTGGAAATTAGCTACTTAGATTTTTTTTAAACAAGCCCAAATTTATGTTCATTGTATAAAGTACATATAAACAAGAAGATGGAAATTAAAACCACTTGTAACCCTACCCACCTAATATAATCATCCTTAGCATTTTATTGAATACCCTTCTAGGTATGTGTGTGTGTTTAGACATATGTGTAGCATCCATGTATACATGACACTATGCCAAAGCCCTGGGGACAAAGATGAGAGAAAGAATGGTCTTGGTATGAAATACCCACAGTCATAGAAAATGATGATTGGTGCAGCTTGAGACCCTGCCTTAGATACTCACTCACCTTCTCTTACCTGTCCCCCACAGGTATACATCATCAATGTGACCTGGTCCGACTCCACATCCCAGACCATCTACCGGAGGTACAGCAAGTTCTTTGACCTGCAGGTGAGTGAGTCTGAGCTCAGATGGGGCCTGGTTCCATTTGAAGTGGCCTGAGCTTCTGGTGAGCTGGCCTGTCTCATTCCTCACCCATCCAGAGAGCCCCTTCCAACAATCTCAGGGTCAGAGTTTAAGCAGAACAGAGGGATGGAGGAGGGAACCTCAGCATTCAAGCTGGGCTGAGCTTAGTCTTGGATGTTGCAGACACACTTGGGGCTATGTTGACTTCTTAACATGACTGTTCACAGTCATGCTTTGTCACCGTCCTGCATTTGGAGGCTGGGAAGATAGGCAAGAGGATGGCTCTGGGTGCTGTGTGCCTGAGCAGACATGTGTCTATAAACATACAGAGTGAGATGCAAGCCACCACATCATTGTAGACAAAGAAAAGCAAACACACGGAAAAGACTGAAACAGAAAATCAGCAATGTCTTGAACTACAGACACAAACTGGGCACACCACTGTGTCTGTCTAACTGAATAAGGCTCTGCGTGGGTGATGGTAGCATGGATCCCTCAGCTCCACTGTAGACACCTCCCTTGATGTCAATTAATTTGGCTAGGCTTCCTTAGGTCACAAGCAATAGTTTTGTGCTCATACTGGCTTAGATGAAAAGGAGACTTGGTTGGAAGCTTATGCAGTCAACCAGATGGTGGAAGGGAGAGTGCGACAGTGGCTCCAAGAACGCCTGAAACCAGGGCTGCGCTCCCTCTGTCTTGTCTTGGCTTCTCTCTGGGCACTGTCCTCAGTAGTTTGGCAGTCAGTAGCTCCCAAATTCCTACCTTGTGGTTTCCAACAGCAGAGACTGCCTCTCTCCCAGTTCTAAATTGAAAACTCCCAGGCAAGACTCTGATTGGCCTGACTTGGGTCAGGTGCCCTCTCTGTACCAATCATTACAGCCGAGGCTGGAGGGGCATGAACACCAACATGGCCACTGGGGGGCCCACCCCTGTTTATCAGAAGCTGAGAGCTTCCAGACTCTTCCTTAGGGCCACGAGCCTGGTTTAGGCCTATTAAAAACACAAAGAAGGGACATCCACCGCTGGCCCTCACAACCAAGGTCCACTTCTTCCTCTGGTGGTGAGTCATCTTGGAGATGCCAGGCTTGCGTGTTTACCTCCAAGTACTTGATTTTATCCCATTGTCCTTATGGCTCTGCCTATGAGATGAGCCAGAGGTGAGCCAGCTTCCTGCATTACAAATCCTCTCTTAATCTAACAATATGGGATTGAGAGCCACTCCTTACCCTCCTCACTTCCTCCTCTTCCCTCACCAATTCCTGTCCAGTCTCCTTGTGTCCTTCTGGTGTAAACTGTTGGAATTTGCTGATACCCCCTCAATGGGTATAGTGTGCTGGACAGGAAATGATCACTTAGTTGGGGAGAGGGAACCCTGAAAGGACTCATTGATGAGCCAGAAGGGGTCTGAGAGCCAGCGGAAACTCTCAAATCAGAACTTTTCTTCCCCCCTTTTCTGTTCTATTCTCCTACCCCGTCCCTAGTTATAGAATCTCACAAGAAAGGAATGCTGTTCCCCCCACTTCTCCCTTGCCTGGAGGGCTCATTTCCTGTGTGTCGAGAGGGGACACATGGCATGAAGCCGCTTGTGTGATGCGCTGGCCCTAGTCGTGAGCATGGCCAGGCCTGTCCGCATGGGTCATCGCCACCCTGTAGGTGCAGTTTGGAAAGGGTGGTTCTTCGGAGTTTAACCTTTCAACCATCTTTGGAAACGTTTTTTCAGAACTTGACATAAGGGCATACAGTGGCATTCATCTTAGAAAGCCTTTCTCATTTATCAAGCTCTCTGATTTTAATATGGCGGCTCCTACAAGAGGAAGAATAAACGGCATTGCTGACTCCATCTCTGGTCACTGGTGGCTCTCAGATCTCAGGTCTGAGTGAGGCACTGGGGCCGCACTTCCTGGGGCCAGTTGCTGGCTCTGTCACTCTAACTACCGGCAGCTTCCTTAGCTTCTCCACTTTCTCATCTGTAGAATGAAGATTCGAATGGCACCCACCCAGTAGGGTTGTTGTGAGGGTTAAATGAGTGAATCCGTGGTTTTCCCGACACATGGTTGTCCAGTACATTACTCGGTGTTAATGGTGACAAGAATGCTGGGCTGCCTGGCTGAAGGGTGTGGGGGTTTAGTACCTCCTGTCATGGTATTGCTTTCTTGTTTCCCTCCCTTGGCTTCACGCTGCTGAGGAGCTGTGCAGTGCCCAGTCCTCCGTCAGAGTGTTCAGAGCCCCTCAGGCTCTCTCTGGAGCTTGCCACTCAGGATGGAGTGAGTTGGGAGTGGGGGAGTGGCCCACAGGGACCTGCTCTCAGAATCCTTCTGCTCCTCCCCTTGTGGGCTGAGCTCCACGTTGGAACCCTGGAAGTCCCCGGACTGACTAAGCCAGCCTGGGGAGAGCTGCTTAACTGGTTTTACTACCTCATGGTTCTGAGTTTTCTAGGGACCATATACTTTATATCCCAGATATTACAGGAGATATACTAAAAAGTTATTCACTGTTTACCCGAGATTCGTATTTTATCCTTTGTCCTGTATTTTCACTTGCTAAATCTGGCAGCCTTAGGCTGGTGAGGGTGGAAGTATAAAGATGAGGAAGCCAAGGCTGGAGTGAATTGGCCTTTGATAAGGCCTCCACCACATGTGCACTTTTGTATAGCAGAAGTGGCCCAGGCTGAGAGACACTCAGTTGAGAAGAACAAGGTCCTATCTTTCTAGAGGTCTGTATCTGATGGGGGAAATAGACTTTTAAGCAATTAAGTCCACTATAGATGAAATGAATACTAGGTTGAGGTACAAGTAACATGCTGAGGGATGGAGAGGAAGGAAAGAACATTCTTCTTGGGAGGGGGCAGCTAAGAAGATGCACATATGGTTTTGATTGGTGATAGAAGCCAAGAGTGATAGAGCCACCCACCCCCACTCCAGTTTGAGGGGATTTGGTTGCTTTTTGAGATTTATAATTATTGGCGTAAATGTGTCCCTAACTTATGTCATACTTTGTTCATTTATGTCTGCTTGTCTGCCTCCTCTTTATATGTCCCTCTATCCATCCATCCATCCATCCATCCATCCATCCATCCATCCATCCATCCATCTATCCTCAGTCCATCCAGTCTTAAGTGCCTACCTTCTATGTCCCAGGCAGGATGCCAGGCTCTGGGTGGGGATTTACTGGTGAGCAAAAGCAGATCTGGTTACTGCTTTTATGGGAATTACAGCTTAGTGAGCGAAGACAGGTTTCAGTTTAAAATATATACATACATATTATTTTATACTATTTTAAATGCTGCAAAGAAAAGCACTATAGACATGTTATAGGGAAACATTATACTCTAAGAGCAGGCTTCCCTGAAGAAGTTAGTTTATCTGACGAATCAGTGAGTTCTTATACTTTATTTTGGGGATCAGAGTTTTTTTGTGCATCCCTTCAGACATGCATGAATGTACATATACAATTCTGACCACCTTCTTGGTCATTCACACCCACCTCAAACCCTTCCAAGGGCACTAGAAGAGGACCCCCTTCTCTGCCCCACAGCTTCTCCTCTCCCCATGTCTTCTGCCCTAAGCCTTCAGACTCAGTGGTTCTCCCTCCTTCTCACACAGGAGGCTGTGCTCTGAACCCAGCTCCTCCTCCTGCCCACTGGGAAGCACCAGATATGGAGCCTTTAGACCTGTGCTATCCAGTGCAGTGGCCACTAGCCACATGTGGCTAGTTACATTTAAGTTAATTTTAAAACTTAAATTTTAAAAATTAAATCAAGTTTAATTTTTAAAATAAGTTTGTATTTACTTGTTTATCTGGCTGTTCTGGGTCTTCACGGCTGTGCAGGCTTTCTCTAGTTGCGAAGCGGGGGCTCGTCTTCATTGCAATGCTCAGGCTTTTCATTGCCATTGCTTCTCTTGTTGTACAGCATGGGCTCCAGGTTTGCGGGCTTCAGGAGTAGCAGCTCGTGGGATCTAGAGCACAGCGCTTCACAGCAGATACAGGACTTTTCTATCATCTCAGGAAGTTCTGTTTGGGCTGCCTCTGACCATCTGGAACACACAACAGGCTCCATTTGGCTTTATGCCCACCCAGGCATGCTCTGCCACTTCCCAAGGCCTCCCCAGTTGTCCTCGAACATCTTCCAGGGCCCCTGCAGCAGGAGGGAGACTGCATCCCACCATGACTTGCCCCATCCATAGAGCAGTTCAAATTCAACAACTCTTCCAAACACCTCTTCCGGAAACCAGGTCAGTTACTAGAGAGGGCTTCTAAGGGCATTTCAGATGTCATGTTGGGAACAGAGAGAGGAGAGGCTCTTGGTCTCTAAGTGGAAATTGGTTTCTTCTAAAAATAATTCACCTCTCAGCCCTATCTGACCAGGAAAGGGACCTGTCCCAGAGGGAGCCAGCGGGGACAGTGTCTGATGTGGAGGCCTGTTTGGTTATAAAGAGCTTGGGTTATAGGAGGTGGATGTGGAGGTGGAGTTAAGGGGAGAAGGAGGAGGAAGAAGGGCTGCAGATGCTCTTAAGTTGCCTTCTTTTTGGTGCTGGACCATATTTCCAGCCTCTGTAAATTTCCTCGCACAGCTCCTTCACTCTTAAGTGTCTCCCCCAAGGCCTGGCCCCATTGAGGAAGGACCGGAAGACTCTCTGAAGCTCCGGCTCCATCGAAGGTTGTTTCACAATCTGATTACAAGACACGGGGCTGCAGTAATTGCTCTGCAAACATTGACTCCATAGTGCTGCTGGCCCTGTAGTCTGAACTCCGGCCAGTGAGTGCACAGGGTCAATATTTGATCAGACCAGGGAGAGGTCCTTTAGCCTCCCCCACGCTGTTTGGAAGATAGAGTTAAGAAAGCTGTTCAGGCTTGCTCATTTGCTCTAAAGGGCTTAACCTATTTTGAAGATCTTTTTTCTCTCTCTTCCTTATTCGTCTCTCCAGCCTCTCCACCCACTTACCCACCCAGCGTCACACAGCCCTCCAATCGCCAGGCTAATGAT